GTACTATTACGTGGACTCCTGTTCTTAACAACGCCATTGTGGTAGACCTCATCTTTGAGCAGGCATCTAATGTCCGTTCCCAGGAGCTGTATTCCGAGTCAAGTAAAATTCCAACATGTTTAATTTCTCTTATAGTAGTGATTTCTTGATCATACAATGTTATATTGATTTTAGCGGCACTTGATGGGCCAAAGGTCAATAATTTGCTCTTTGACGGAGCAAATGTAAACCTCCATTGCCAACTGTATGTTTCACAAATAGACACCATTTCTTGAAGATGTGATGGCACTGGAGAGATCAAAGTGATATCGTCAGCTTGGGTGGGAGCAGTAATGCTGACGTCCAGTACAACAGATCCCTTCTTACTCCTAACTAAGTTTCGCAAGAGCTCATCTATATACAGTAGGTATAGTTTTGCAGATAAAATGCTCCCTTGTCGAACACCTCTATGAAGTTGAAACCAGTATGACTTCTCGTTGTTTGCTAAAACGCAACTTCTCACATCCGTGTAAATATGATCAACAATTGTCCAGAGCGGATGTGGCACTTCCATATAGTAGAGTTTCAGGAGAAGGCCAGGCTGGTAGACAGTGTCGAAAGCCTTGGAGCTATCAGGGAAGGCTACATGAACTACATCAGAACGCTCTGAGTAATGGTAAGCTGTTTCTTGTACCAGAAATGCAGTGCGGATTGATGACATTCCTTTTTGGAAACCAAACTCTTGATTGCATGGGAAGGTGTCAGAATCTGTGATCTGTTGAAGTTTTTTTGATAGCACAAGTTCAAACAGTTTAACTATAACTGGAAGGAGTGTCACGCCTCTATAAGAGTCTGGAGACATTCAAGTGTTCATAGGTGATTTCGTCTGCACCTGCTGCAGCGAGAGGCACAAACGAAATACCTCCTCCTGTGAAGTAAATAGAAGTTCAGCCTTGTTACCTTCTGCTTGGATTGTTTGACGTATTTTCTCAACTTAAATATATATATAAGGCCAATGATGGAGTCACGGGTCAATAGGTACATTGATGACGTCATTACTCCTGCCAACAGGAATACTGTTAATTCAAATTACTCTACTTATATATGTTTAGATGGGGTATATTTTCACTCCTATTTATATTGCCTTTAGGGTTTGTATTCAGCCCAAGTAAACATTTCTGGTGAGAATATTCAGCAACCCAAGCTTATCGTAGGAGTCGACTATATATACTTGCCGTAAGAAACGACCAGCAGGATCGGTCGGTCAGGCTCGCTGACTTGGTTGATGCTTGTTATCGTATCCCAATGGTTTAGATACATGTTCATTCTGGTAATTACTGGATTGTCTGTCCCAGAGTCGATTATTTACAGATCGCCGTTATGCAGCTTGAATATTGGTGACTGCGCCGAAAAATAACGCTACTGAACTTAAAAGGTTCAATATGTCTTCGTTCAGATTGAGGTTTTATGTTCGTTTTCAACATACAGCACCTCAACAAGCCCTTAAACCTGGTTTTCACAACACTATGCGGCTATTTTTGTTTTCCATGAAGTAGGAGACAAGGTGGCCCAGTCGTCTGTGCTGTGCAGAGTTGCGTCCCTTGGACACGCCAGAAACCTATGATTGTGGGTTCGAATCCCAGTTCGCCCCGATTATGTTTCTAGGTTATTCAGCACCATACCCCTGCTCGTGGGTTTCAACGAAGTGGTAAACGTCTGTGTCACTTCGGACTTTCCTCCCACATTAAGCTGACACGCCGTGATATAACTGCAATACTGTTAAAAGCGCCGTTAAACCCAACTCACTCACTCCATGAAGTAATATTCCCCAAATCGGCAGTTGTCAGCTGTCGTTTCGACGCATACTGTTTTGTGTAAAAGCTGTTATCACAATGAAAAACTCTTGGCTATGCGTGTCACTTGATAGAAAGGCCGATACTGTGCATGATTAACGATTCGCAAATATAAACAACAATCGGGTTAGAAATCAAATCAATATTGCACAGAACTACCTTTATCCTTGTGCGCTTCACGCGTATATCCCGGTGTGTGTGTGTGTGTGTGTGTGTGTGTGTGTGTGTGTGTGTGTGTGTGTGTGTGTTATATTCATAAACAGTCAATAAATTTTATTTACTAAAGTAGTGACACATTAATACAGAACAAACGCTATGTGGCCATTTCATCAATATTACATGCATAAAATCAAACGTAAATATACCCAACATCATTCAACATCCGGAGGTTAATAAATAGTATAACACCAAAAGGATGTGGATTTACGCCCCAAAAAGATGTTTTACTCGTATAATAATCTTTAAAGTGTGGTAGTTTACTTCAAAAACAAAGACCAGGTCAAAAGAAAGAGACCTGTGGTTCATTTGTCCACCTCAAATACTTTACTGACTAAATATATTAATAATACGCATTTCAGATATTTGATTTATTTTCATATTCCTGTGGCAATTTGCTTTAATTCTCTGTCTGCAAAATAACCTGTACATCGAGCACATTTTCTTGGCTGGTAATGTTTGGTTTTCTACCCAATCCGATTATGAAAACACCCCTCTTGACTGACATATGAAATTCTATACATTGTATTACACAATACAGTCATCTCTCCTAAAAGATATGTATGGTGCTTCTTTCATAGACCTGGCTAGACTTTTTTATACCCTCGACAAAATGTCGGGGGTATATAGTTATACCAAGGCTCCGTCTGTCCGAACGTCCGAAAACTTTGTCCGTGCGATTTCTCTTAAACTATTCAGGGGATTAATCTCAAACATAGAACATATTATCTGTGTCATAAGGAGGGGTGCAGTCAAAAGAAAAAAAATGTTTTTATTAATTTTCAATTTTTTTATGACTTTTTCAAACCCTAACGTCCGTCTGAAAACTTTGTCCGCGCGATTTCTCTTAAGCTATTCATGGGATTCATCTCAAACTTAGTACAAATAATCTGTGTCATATTGAGGGGTTCAGTCCAAAGAAAAAAGTGTTTTTATTAATTTTCCATTTTTAAATGAACTTTTCAAACCCTAACGTCCGTCCGAAAACTTTGTCCACGCGATTTCTCTTAAACTATAAACTGTGTCATATGGAGGGGTGCAGTCCAAAGAATAAATTGTTTTTATTAATTTTTCATTTGTTTATGAATGTTTCAAACCCTAACCAGGGTTTCCCCTTGTTATAACCTAGCCCTCAGACTAGAGACAATACCAGAGGCGTTGGGGAGAGACTTTTATTTCGCCATGCACATGGCCGGTCCACATGTCATAGTTCTAGGGTACATCAGGTAATATAATGCTTATCAAGATATTACATTCCTCCCTCTTTGGAAGGAAACAGTACTAAACCAAACATATCTACATTAAAGATGCCAAAGTGCTTCTCAACATTTGTACACAAGAAAGCCATCTACAAAAATCAATCTCTAGATTTAGTAGGTATCTGCCATAAGGGAAAATATGTCAACTTCTACTGTTCAAGTAAACTTTACCTTAACCCAAAATAACACATGAGTTCACATCAATCTCATTAACCAATTACTTCCTAACAAAGTCCTCAAGATATCTTGGTTCACGTCGGGTCCTCTTAGAAGATCTACTCAGAACGGGAGATTTAACATTGCAATTTTCTGTTGATAGTACAATCTCTGAAGCAGGATCCTGTATCGTCTCTGACACGTGATCCTTCTCTGGAAAGTCATTGATAACAGGTATCTCGACATTGCGCGTCTCTGGTAGAGCAGATTCTACCTGTTGATCTGAACGAGTGTCAGTATTGCCTCTGAGTAGTTGGGTTTCTCGAGTACGCAGATGATCCTGATCACATTTCGACCATCAAACAGTTCTACCTCAAACGATACTGTTCCTGTCCTGTTCGACACTGACACACCTCACACTTTTTCACTGTTGACTCCAGAATTGAATCCATGCTAGGCCACCACACATAGCTACGAGCAAGTGCCTTCATCCTACTTATTCCTGGATGTGCCTCATGAAGTTCACAAATAATCCTGTCCCGACCTGGCGGGGGAATCACTACACGGTTACCCCACAACACACAGCCATCCTGTACGGTCAGCTCATCACGGCGACAGTAGTATGCCTTCATTTCTGGGTTTTCACAGAAATTAGGCCATCCACACTGCACATATCTCAACACTGTTGACAACACCGGATCCAGGCGCGTCCATGAACGAACATGTTTGAATGTCACAGGTGTAGTATCCATCAGTTCCAGAAGCATGATGTATTCCGGAGGTACAGGTGTTTCTTGAATACTTGGTTCTTCTTTCACAGGAAGTCGGCTCAGACAATCCGCATTGGCGATCTGCGATCTTGGTCTGTAGACAAGTTCATACTCATAAGCAGACAATGTTAGTGCCCACCTCTGAATCCGTGCTGATGCCATCATTGGTATCGCTTTGGTCTCAGCAAATAATCCCAACAATGGTTTGTGATCGGTCTCTATAGTGAAATGATTTCCTGCCAGGTACTGATGAAATTTCTTCACACCAAACAGCATTGCTAAGCCTTCCTTTTCCAGTTGCGAATAGTTTTTTTCAGCGGAGTTTAGGGAGCGTGATGAATATCCAATGGGACGATCGCCTCCCTCTTCAGTACGATGAGACAGTACTGCACCAACTCCGTAGGGCGATGCATCACAACAGAGAATCAGTTCCTTCTTCGCATCATAATGAACGAGAACTTTATCAGAACACAGCAGTGACTTGCATTTCTCAAAAGCTGACTGTTGTCGGCTTGTCCACTTCCATGGTACTTCTTTCTGTAACAGTTTGTGTAACAGTGCCAGAGCAGTGGAAAGGTTTGGCATGAACCTTCCATAATAGTTCAGCAAACCCAAGTAGCTTTTCAGTTCTGTCACATTCCGCGGAGGTGACACTTCTTTGATGGCCTTGACCTTTCCAGCTACTGGATAGGTGCCCTCTCTATCCAGACAGTATCCCAGATACGCAACTTCTGTTGCCATGAAGCTACACTTGTCCTTACGAACTCTCAGACCTGCTGGGCTAGTCTCCTCAGAACTTCATCTAAGAGTGTCAAGTGTTCATCCCTCGAACGGCCACCAATCAGAATATCATCAATCCTGACCAGAACTTGTTCAAGACCTTGTAGGGTATTCTCCATGATGCGCTGAAATATACCAGGAGCTGACGACACACCAAATGGCAGACAGTTATACCGAAAGAGTCCTTTATGTGTATTTATTGTGACGTACTGCTTTGAATGTTCGACCAACAAGACCTGCTGGTAAGCTTGACTTAGGTCTAACTTAGAATAGAACTTTGCTCCTCCTAATGTTGCGAACATGTCATCTGTCTTTGGAATTGGGTATTTATCCAACTTGGACACTTTGTTCACAGTCACTTTATAGTCACCACAGACTCTAATACTCGATTCGGACTTCACCACAGGTACTATGGGTGCTGCCCATTCAGAAAACTCTACAACTTCTATTGTACCATTACTCTGTAGGCAATCAAGCTCCTGTTCAATCTTCTGCTTCAATGCATATGGGACTGGTCTTGCTTTATGGAAGATCGGTTGGGCATTCTTGTCAACATATATCTTTGCTTTCGTTCCTTTGAACGTACCCAAACCATCCTTGAACACTTCAGGATGCTTATCCAACACAGTTCTCAAACTGCTTTGCGAATCCTTAGCAGTCACATGTTTGATTATATTCCAATCAACATCAAACACATCAATCCAGTTACGTCCAAACAGACTAGCACGGTTCCCTCGGGCGACTAATAGGGGTAGACTTGCAGTCACTCCTTGAAAATCAACCTCCACCATCACCTGTCCCGCAAGATCAAGCTTATTTCCAGTGTATCCAAGGTATGATTTAGTCGTAGGTGTCACAGTCAAGTTCTTTACACCCTGTTGAAGATGTGACAAAGTCTTTTCACTCACAGTGGATACCGCAGCCCCAGTGTCAAATTCCATCTTCAAATCTTGACCGTTGACTTGTACTGGTACATAAACTAGTTTGTTCACTGAACCAGAAACCATGAACATTTCATATGCTTCACTCACATCCACAAATCCCTCAGAATCCTGTGAATCATGTTCTTGAATGTAGTTCGCTCTATTTCCGTACTGTCTGTGATGTCTACCTCGGCGACCTCGACTCTGTCTCCCACCTCGATGTGAAGCTCTCCTCTGACCATTTCCCCTCCTGTTGAGACGTTTCTGTGATAAATGTCCAACAAGTCCACACGAGTAACACTCCTGATCTTTAAAACGGCATGTTGAAGGGTCATGTCTTCCGCCACAACGAAAACATGAAGAACTGTAGTTACCTCCCCTGGCTGGTTTCTTCGTAATAAAGTTGACAATACCAGTGTCAATGGATGTTGCAGTTTGTTTCTGAAGATCAGCAGAATTTTTGTCAGCCGCTTCCATTGATGTTGCTATGGCAACGGCTTTGGTGAATGTCAAATTTTCTTCTGACAGTAACCTGGATAACATTTTCTGTTTGTTTATACCGCAAACGAATCTGTCCCTCAGCATGTCGTTAAGGAATGCTCCATAATCACAAAATTCAGTCAGTTTTCTCAATACAGCAACAAACTCACTGATGGTCTCGTTGGGCTTCCGTACTCTCGTGTTGAAGTGGTAGAGGTGCACAATCTTCGACGGTTGGGGGTTGTAATGGTCTTTCAACCATTTTACAAGTTGCTCAAAACTTTTTGACGTCGGCTTTTCGGGGCGAAGTAAGTCTCTTATTAATCAATAAGTTTTACCTCCCACGGAACTCAGTAAAGTCTGACTTTTGCGTTCAGTTATGGAATTCGCCTCGAAGAAAATCTCGGCTCGCTCCGCATATTTGCTCCAATCTTCGACTGTTTCGTCAAACTCGCCAAGATTCCCGCATACAGACGATGCCATCTCGACTGCGCTTCCAAACTTCGCAAAACTTCAGGTTTATACCTCGTCGCCAATTGTTATAACCTAGCCCTCAGACTAGAGACAATACCAGAGGCGTTGGGGAGAGACTTTTATTTCGCCAGGCACATGGCCGGTCCACATGTCATAGGCGAGTGACGGCACGTGCGGACTACGTTCACAGGCACGTAAGGTATTCATACGCGTCACTCTGACAGTACATAGTTCTAGGGTACATCAGGTAATATAATGCTTATCAAGATATTACACCCCTGATGCAGGATTCTTGCGTATATGACACTCAATTAAGGAAAACTATGTCCAGAAATATATAACTGCGTCATGATTGACGAAATTTCAAAATATCTATGTTGTTGTTTAGAAATTACCAGCTTTGGAATGAAAATATTACAACTACTCACCTGAAATTAATTAATAAACATTTTCCGAAGACAATATATGCAAACGTCTTAAAATTTACGTCTAGTTTTTAATTAATCGTCGTTTTTGAAAGTAACATAACTTCGCATAACACCACTGCCACAGGCTAATTTGCAAAGCCTGTCACATGACCAGACTTTTCTCTCGTTTTAAAACAAACGCTAAAATCAGAACAGCCGGGGGCTTTACATATTGTTTTTCATAATTATATAGATATGCTACTAAAACTGTGCGACTGTGAGGTACACGACAAAATATATTTATTCTTCAAAGTGAACGTAACTCTCACACTCCGTGTGGCTTCGATGACAGCATGTGATGTAAACAAAGTGAAAACTCCGCAAATGGACAAAGTTTTTCACGTTTCGGCATATATTCTCACTAAAAGTTAACCGTGACATATGTTTATCTAGATGTGTAGACTCGTAAAAAATGAAACAGAAGAAAATATTATCCTTGTTGCGGTGAAAAAAAGTGATTTGGCGCGGTCACAGTATGTGGTTAAGCGGAACCTATGGAACGGGATAAACGGAAGTTGTAAGTATCGGAGGGACACATGTTGTTACCGAAATTTAGGTAAACATTATTGAATGAAATTTAAATTAAAATTAATAAAATAGATGACAAACATAATGTCAGATATACAGAGAACACATTTTATTACCAGATAGTGTAACAACAGGATTAACATGAGTAATTCAATTCGGATTTGTTATGCTATTTCCGATGACGGATCATGACAGACTGAAATGAGACTGAAGAAAAGTCTCTGCGTATTATACACGAGAGATATTTTTTTAGGATTTAATTGCCCATACGGGGGTGCGACCACTGCTTCGCGTGTCTTTGCAAATATATGAAATAAAATGCAACGGTCAAGGAAACATGTGAAAGCATTTTAACAAAGAAATAAATACTTACTCTCCTAATAGAATACCCCCGAAGACCCGGGTTAAATTGGTCTTCGGCAACCAATGCTTGCCGTAAGAGGCTACTATGCTTGTCGTAAGAGGCGACTAACTGGATCGGGTGGTCAGACTCGCTGACTTGGTTTATGCATGTCATTGGATCCCAATTACGTGGATCGATGCTCATGATGTCAATCACAGAATGTTCTGGTCAAGACTGGGTTATTTACAGACTGTCGTCATATAGCTTAAATACTGCTGAGTTGGATAAAGCGAATATACTGTGATATTTCAGACTGTGAACTAGGATGGACTGGAGATGTTGCAAACAGAATCACGGTAAAGAAAATACAAATAAAAATGGATACATTTTAGAGAGAAAAAAAATTTTCTTTCGTGTTCAGACACTAAATTGTGAATTAAAATGTATTCATTCATTCGTATAATTGAATATGCTAGCTGTCAACAAGAAATAGCTCATACTAGTGGCAGCCATGCAGTGGGTACCTGGTAGGAGATCCGTGAAGATCCGGGGTAGAATAGGTCTTCAGCAACCCATGTTTGCCTAAAGGCGACTATGCTTAAAAATTGTCGTAAGAGGCGACTAACGGGATCGGGTGGTCAGGATCGCTGACTTGATTAATGCATGTCATCGTATCCCAATTGAGTGGATCGATGTTTATGATGTCAATCACTGGATAGTCTGGTCCAGACACGATTTTTTACAGACCGTCGTCATATAGCTAGACTATTTGCTGAGTGCGGCGTTAAACAACAAACGAACCTACATCAGTTCGGGAATATGATATGTTAATGATAATATATGTCAACACTGACTGGATTGAACGTATACATGTGTCTTGATTCTAGCAACAACAAAAATTCAAGAGAGTTTTTATTTCAATCTTCCATCGGAACACCGAATCCAACACTGGATGACGCGATCGGCCGTGCTCGGCTATCATATCTATGCCAGAGTTATCTTTCTTTGTCCCGTTTGCTTCAAGCTCATCACAGCGATAGTCCGTTCGCGGAGCTCTCTATACCGAGAGTGTAACGAAGGTGTCACGCGCTGTGAAGGAGCTTGCGTTTGCTTACAGGTGGTGCTTATTTTCAATATGGCTGCGCCCATAGAGGTACATGCTTTTCCAGTATTTTCTTGAAATGAGACCGGTTATGTGGCTGACGTTAGGCAAATTATGTCAGTGTAATTTACTCGTAGACATTTGATTGAATATGCGGCTGTTGTCAGCGTATTTCACCGACTTTGACGGTGACTGCTACTGTTTGTTGTATGTCCCCACACAAGAGTGACATCTCGGCCATGGCATGCCGGTTGTGGTACATTGCTAACATGATTAAGATGTTTCAAACATGGATTTAATACTTGCAAATGTCAATATTGTCATTTGCAAGTTTCTGTAGCTGTAACGTTAAATGACCAATCAAGGCTAGTGGCACTCTAATTTTCACCAGTTTTTTAACTGTTGAACAATATTGAAAATATTACTACTCGATCACAAGTCTAGGAGGTTTTTGCTGTTATAATTTATGTCGATTTCATAAAAAAACAACTTCATCATAAGAACATTCAGGAAGTGATCTATTCCTTTTCCTGCTAAAGGTGATCAGTTCGCATTATAATACGTGTAAAATTATGTAAATACAGTAAACTATGGTTATAACGAACTCAAAGGGACCATTTATTTTGTTTGCAATAACCGTAGTTCATTATAACCATGGTTTACTGTATTTACATAATTTTACACTTATTATTATGCGAACTGATCCCCTTTAGCAGGAAAAAGATGATGTTTGGGCATGTGGCCTACAATACCTAATGAATAAAGACTATACCGGTACTAGATTTCTACTTATGATAATTTACATGCATAGTGATCAGAATATCTTTTTTATGTAAAGGTTACTTGACATACAACTTTTACACTGAACAAGGAGCTTGTCACATGACCTCTAAATGACTGGCTTCTACCCGGCTGTCTACGTTGCTCACAATTAGTTTATGGAAAATACACAAGGCGCATAATTTCTGCGTATAAAACAATGCCTAGCATAACAGAAAATGCAGTTTAAATTGTAAATCATCATGTCTAGTGATAATTTATCCCAGTTTTCACATTTGTTTTACCAAATTTATTATAACCTGTTCATTAACCTTAATTTGCTGAAGGATATGTTGTAGTTTTTTACTGTGCATAATATGATGTTGACCGATAGCGTCACCCTTTGAAGTCGCGTTGACACCTCGTTAATCACTTCACATTCTTTGATGTCGCTTGTGACTGTGCAGTGAGAAGAGCGTTGAACACAAGTCACACAAGTGGAAATTACAGTCCGTAATAAGCAAATTTTGAAACCAAAAAGAAAAAGCAGTCCATATTTCAATGCTATCAAAGGTGGAGTGTTGTTTACCTTTAAAGCGTATAAACGACACATTTTGATGTTCATACATTTTTCAGGAGACAGTATTCTTGAAATGACCTATACACTAACAGGCTACTTCCACATTTGGGGGAAAAACCCTGGGAATTCCTTAGCATGAGTATATACAGAACTGTTGTTTTTGAAACTTTAATCTTGTACAGTCCATCCTCCAACTTTTTACTTTCGCATCTATTCGACACATCTTTATGATTATCTTTGAATGAGCATCCAGTTCACCAATGATGAAACATCTCACCACACATGCACTTTGACAACTTTTTCAAGGTACCAAATAGGGATATATAAAATTATAATCTTTACATTCACTTTGTTTGAATTCATTGGAGTATGAACCTTCATAGAGAGAGATCCATACATTGTATGAATACAGTTTGGTGCTCACTCTCTTAATTAAAAGAATTCTTTTCCCTTAGTGAATAGTCAAGTAATGGATGGGGCTTTTGGATGTTAAGGGCTTCTTGTAGTTTTCTGATTTTGAATTCTTTGAGGTTGGTGGTGAGGGCTTTAACTTTGTCTCACTGAATGCAATCCAAGTCACAGCATCCAGTGGGACAAAGTCAAAGCCCTCACCACCAACCTCAATATCTTATCCTTACTTAGCCAAATGTAGTCTGATTGAGCCAGCAGTTATATAAACACACAATATGTCTGTTGTGATATTTCCTGTCACAGGTACTAGCCAGCAGTTATATAAACACACAATATGTCTGTTGTGATATTTCCTGTCACAGGTACTAGCCAGCAGTTATATAAACATACAATATGTCTGTTGTGATATTTCCTGTCACAGGTACTAGCCAGCAGTTATATAAACACACAATATGTCTGTTGTGATATTTCCTGTCACAGGTACTAGTCAGCAGTTATATAAACACACAATATGTCTGTTGTGATATTTCCTGTCACAGGTACTAGTCAGCAGTTATATAAACACACAATATGTCTGTTGTGATATTTCCTGTCACAGGTACTAGTCAGCAGTATTATAAACACACAATATGTCTGTTGTGATATTTCCTGTCACAGGTACTAGTCAGCAGTATTATAAACACACAATATGTCTGTTGTGATATTTCCTGTCACAGGTACTAGTCAGCAGTTATATAGACACACAATATGTCTGTTGTGATATTTCTAGTCACAGGTACTAGTCAGCAGTATTATAAACACACAATATGTCTGTTGTGA